CATGCTACGGAAGGCAATGCAGAGGAACAGACTTGGATCATGAAGTCACGCTGAAGGCTGAGGGTTCCCCACATCTTTAGAAAGAGGTCTGTTTGTGGGACTTGGGAAGAAGCAAGCGAAGGAACTTTGTACACACATTAGCACAGCACAGAATGAAACTATTGCTATGGACTATAATATAGATCACTCCTTCCAAACAGACTTGGATTACCAGATGTGAAGTGCTCTGGAAGCTATCTGACAGCGGAAGACTGCTCTGACAGTCAGCCCACTCACTGATCCCATCATAAGATGGGCACGTTTGACTGATGCACTCACTTTAAGAGAGGTCTCAGTGCTGCATCATAACTGCACCAGCAGTTTTGAGAGCCCTAAACTGAAAGAAACTCTCCAAGGATACTTGCTCTCAGCCACTTGTATACAGACTTAAAGGAAAAGAAACCACAGCTGGACAGTGGAAGGTGGCAGCAAATAGCAAGACACAAGAAGCCACACAAGACTACACCCCCAAAACAGGGTTAACATTATTCATGTTCATCTTAGTCTGTCTGAAACAGATCCCATTTAAAACCTCAGCAACCTTTTCTAAAAAATGCTTGGGGGAAAACTATGAAGAATGCAAGTCTCTCTCAGCCCATGGCAACAAGCCCAATGGCACTAGGCAGCAAAAGAAAGTGTGCAGATTACCCAATAGAGTCTGTTGTTTATGAAGAACAGATCACAGCAGGTTAAGTGCAGCATGGAAAGGGAATGGCATTTATGCAAAATACAACATAACAGCAAAAAAGGAGAAAGCAAGTCTTGGGAACAGAAACTGGGTTTAGTCATGTCCAATTTTGCACAACAGTACATGACCTCAGTTTTATACAAATAATCAAACTATTACTATCAAACAGACATTCTTGTGTTGTGAATAACGCAAATCTGCATGCTTATATTACTGTGGGCTAAGTGCAGAGAGCTTTTGTTATAGGAAGCAATATTCCCCACACAGACTGAAATATAAAGAAATAGGAATTCCAGAACAATTCATCAGGTCTGCTCCCATTTTGTCATCCCATCATAGCTGCAATGCCACCACCTTTTCCATGCTGCAAATCCATGCTGCATTTTTAGATGCATAAGCAGTGCTAAAAAGGGATTTGATAAGATCTTTGCAATACACAAACTCCCAGAATAAGGGAAGCAGCACACTTGGTCCATAGAAACAGTTATGAAAAATCAGTGAATGGACAGATGCATGCTCCTCTTCATGCAGTACACAAAACCCATTATAACTAGCCATGCCTAGCATACCTGGCCATCCAAGCAACAGAATTGGCAGCAACACTTCTTTTCAGTCTATATTTTACAGACAATGAAAAAAAGAGAGATTATACAAGTGTTTAAGACACACAGGATGTCTCTAACGCAGTGTTTAAATGCAAGCCAAAGCAAGGTCTTTTCCTTCAGGTCCTCCTCCCTTTCACCCTTGTTACCACATTTAACTGTTGGGTCTCAGAGCTGGTTGCCCTGCATGGAAGCAGGAGGTAAGGCAAGCATGGTCTCCCCTCTCCAGCCGCTGCCCCCTGCAGCACACTCTGCCAGTCACAGAACAGCATAGTAATCCTCTTCACCACCCTACAGCCCCATCTAATTTGTGGTGGATCCAGCGCCAAATTCAGTTTTGTACTGCGTGCAATTCCAGGAGCTGGAAAGGGCAGACTTGAGATGCTTTCAGAGATACAGTCTCACTTAGTGCTGCTTTCAGTCTTTATCCAATTTCTAATCAAGAGGCTGATGATAAACCACAAAAGCAATAGTTCAATCTAGTTAAAACCAAGCAGGTTCTGTGAACATACAGTTCCCACTACCAAATGCAGCTCCCAAACCTGCACTGTTCATGTTTTCCACTCCTGCAAAACTTTCAAGAATTTCCATCAATTAGACAAAAACACAGACCTTTTGAACTCTGATGGCAAGGATGATGATCTGGGCCTTAACACCTACTGTGTATGCACCTACAGAAAAGAGGCTCAGCTCAAGACCTGAAAGCAAGTCATCCACACCTTCAGTGAATACTCTAACAACTAATTCTAAATATATGCATCAATCTTTGTTTCCCCTCTGATCAGAATTTTTCTTCTACTCAAAAAAAATCCCTTCAATAACAGTCATATAGAAGGGAGGAAGTTGTTGAAAAAGATTACCTTAGTCAACTCTAGATATAGGGTATATTACAGAAGCATAGGCATCTGCTTAGATTCTTGCTGGGATGGGGATTCAAGGTTGAAGACCATAGTGAGTATTTCTCCTAGAAACTTTGTTGAGAGATGGTGCTGTGTTCTGGACTTTCCAAGTGAGATTTTGGAGTTCAGATTGAGCAACTCTTTGGGTACTGGTTCAGAGCTGCCTTCAGCAAGGCCTCGGGGACTTCAAAACTGGCCTACACAGCCTCCCTGCAGAACAGAACCCAGGGGTGCTAATTCTCCACAGAAGAGATGCAGTATTTAAACCACCCCCATCAGATGAGATCTATTCATAAAATCTTTAGGTTGGAATAGACCTTTGGGATCATCAAGTCCAACCGTTGATCTAATACCACCATGCCCACTAAACCATGTCCTGAAGTGCCACATCTACATGTTTTTTGAATGCCTCCAGGGATGGTGACTCCACCACTTCCCCGGGCAGCCTGTTCCAATGTTTGACTACTCTTTCAGTAAAGAAATCCTTCCTAGTGTCCAATCTAAATTTCCCTGGTTGCTGGAAGCAAAAAAACCTGTTTAGATTCTTCACCAAAATTCTAGGTTTTATACATCCTTTTTAAAAAACAAAGTTTAATTAATTTGGATCAGAAGCTATAGGAAATATTTGTCTCAAATGCAGGCTGAAACCAGTTAGCTTCCTTGGACGCTGTTTTTCATTCATGTCTTATACAGGGACAATGACCTTAAATGCTGCAATATAAATGATGAAGCTGATCCTGAGGTATGTGGAACATGGGGTATTTTCACAATCCAAGGAATGATATGAATTTCAGTTAATTCCAGCTACAAAGGGATCATAGGCTTCCTTCATCATGCCAGGTAAAACAAAAGCATTTTAGTGTTCACAGATAGGACTGAATGGAGGAAGAATGCAAAATACTGCTTGGCTGCCAGCTGAAAGCACGCAGTTTTTGTAAGCAGTTTCATTCTGCCCCTCCACTGGCAATCTACACTAGCCAGGGAATGTGCAGGAAAGAGGCCCAGCAACTGCTCTGCAGTCCAGACACCAGTACCAACCTTCCAAATAAATATGTCTGAAACAAAGCTTTATCAACTGCACTCAGTCCAGCTTATCAGGATAAAAATTTCACCTGCACCCCCCATACTTTACTCTCCAAGAGGCTGACAGGTGACAAAGACATTGAAAGTCAGCTTTCCTTCCCCCTTTTCCTTGAATTATAGAGTTTAACATGGAACACTTAGTTGGCCCACTGTACTAGGCTTTGTAAGTATTCCCCTCCAGTGCCAGCATAACCTGAGCAGCTCTACACAAAAAAAAATCGAATTTCAACAATTAAGAGTGCAGTTAGACTGCAATAAACTGCAGCCACCTTCTCTTACCACCACCTTCCCAAGATAGTCCACACTGAATACAAAATATGATGCTGCTCAAAAGTAGTATGCAAAGTTGGCAGAATGGATAATACTTTTCCCACTTCACCATTAAAAAAGCCAAACAAAAACACTCCCACACACCAGATAATGGGAGGGTAAGGCTGAGGAGGGAATAAAAATTTTTTGTGGGTTATCACAAAAAATAATCTTTCCCCTCCTCTTCCCCCAGGCATCACAAAGTGTTTGAACCAGTCCCAAAGCTTTTTGTCTTTCTCATCTTTGAAGCCAATATTGATTATATTTTGGAATTTCTTTTTTTACCTTCAAAAGATTTTGCAAACAGTAACTAATGAATCTTAAAATTTCTCTGAGGCACAGGATATCTAGAGCAGTGCTAGATACAGGGAAGCTAAGGCACCCTTTAAGTTGTATGAATTACCTAAGTTCACAAAGTAGAAGTCATCAGTGTGGAGGATTTCGGCTTTTGAGATGTGTGCCAAACAGAGCAGATCGCATACCCCTCCTACCTGTCACAGAACTACACATGAGCCATTTTTAACACCCAGTTCACTTAGCACTGAGACACTACTCAATGTGCTAGCCATAACAGACCTAAGTATCACTTCATTTCTACCTTGCCTCAGCAAACTACTTTTCCTCTCAGAATCTTCTTCATGAGGGCTTTCTTTTTGCCTTAACTACTTCAACTTCTCTGAAATTCTGTAGGACCTCTCTCAGTCTAACTATTTTTGAAGGATGCTCAGTGACCAGGTCTGATTATCCTTTTTCCACAGATATCAATGGCCCACAAACCATAAGCCTCCACTGCAACCCCTGCCTGAGGTAACTAGTTCTCAAGAGAAGCAGCATTATGAAACAGTCTACAATCCAGCACATCATTTAGTTCCAGCAAGTGAACAGTGAAGAATCAAAACCCCAAAGCAGTCTCATCACCTCTCTGCCAGACCCTCAAACCACAATAGGGCATAGAAGAGGGAAGAGGATCAATAGACCACTCTTTCTTGCTAGGATAGAAGCTGCGCCGGTAACAGCAGAAGCTGCGCCGGTAACAGCAGAAGCTGCGCCGGTAACAGCAGAAGCTGCGCCGTCCACCCTGTTCTGCGTGAGCGACAGCTCTCTGCAGCTCATCTTCAGGGAAAAATCAACATGCCCTGCAACTTGTTTTTGTTTCTGTGCTATGCTGGAGGTGGATGCCATTACATATGTATGTGTCTCAAGGCATGTTGACTGAAAGAAAGCTTCCAGTTGGTTAAACAAGTCCCCAGCTTTCAACATTTTCACTTGAGTAACTAAATCAGGGTGTGCACCCATGCTGCTGTCATCACTTGGCTAATGCCTTAACAGTCTCCTGCAGCCACTGGGAGCCAGGCTGTAGGAAGCCAACAGAAATTTTACCTGCGTAAATGATCCATCCTCGTTGCATTCTGGGATGAAGACTGCTTCCTGGGGCTTCTTTGCCTGTTCCAGTGCTTGAGCTCTCTCTAATCGACACTTGCTTTGGCCAGCATCTACAAAAAGAAAAGTAGAACCCACTTAGACTGCAAACACCATTTGGCCTCTTCAAAAGCTACTAGATGCACCAAGCAGCTGCAGGGGGGAAAAGCCCCAAACAAATACAAGGCATCAAAGACCATTACTGCACATTAATGAGGCAGCTATGGAGTTAGCATTCATTATCCCAACGACAAATACGAACCTAGACAATCAAACTACAAGCCAGTTGGTAAAGAGCTGCCTAATTTCCTGGGCAATAGTTCTCATGGTCATCCAAGGGCTCCAAAAGCTTATTCAAACAAGTGTTGGAGCACAACCTCCACATAGTGAAAGGCCTTCACAGAAGGAGCTGTGTTTGTGTTAATATTAACAGCCTAAAACTGGATGGTTAAGCATAAGCGAACAATGTGGAAGAAGGGATGGCCCCAGAAAAGCTTTTTCTCTGAGCAACTCTTCCAGTATGTTAAAATAACCAGCCACCCATCTGAACTTCCACCTTTGTGTGGTTCAGATAAGGTGGATATGCTATTGCCTGTGCTTTCCCAAAATCCAGCTTCTACCTCTAGCCCCAGTGCTTACAGCCAGGCGTGCATTATGCTTTCCCATATCAGTAACTCACTTTGCTGTCAAGAAAAAAAACATTGCTCTGCAATCTGAGCTTGAAGGGGTTAAGATCTCAGCTCTGCACTTATTTCGGCAGCATGTAGCACGACCTTAACACCTTAACCCCTTCCAGTTCCAGCGCACTGTTACAGTGTAGACCCAGATGATCCATCAGTCAGTGTTAGGCTTAAAGAGGAGAGCTCTGCCCTGCAGAGATAAAGATTGACTCAGTGTTTACATTTGAAAACATGATGTCTAACAGTACTGCTGTTCAGTCTAGAAAGAGAAGAAAACCAGCAAACATCTGTTTCCATACGACTGACACAGGGACTGGCACCTTCTTCCTTTTCCCATGAATCCACCGACTGAAAGATTTTCAGCGGAGAAACTGCAAAATCTGATCATCGGAATCTTTCAGCAGTAACATAGAGAGTGATCAAGGTTGAATACCCATTCTTCCAGGCACAGAAGTCATATTGGTTAGAAATATTCCACTGGATCTCTGAAGATCCCATATTCTGCTTCACAGATCACAGGAACTTCAACAACAGAAACACTAACACCAGCTCTGAATTAGAAAGCCAGTCTGGGTTCTCAGATGGACTGAATTCATATTGCATGGCAATAGTAGTGATCTTCATTTAAGTCGACCTAGGTGCAGAAACCAATGACAATACCATAAATAGTTTTGATAAAGACAGACCAAAGCATTCAAGCCAAGTACTTTGTTTACACAACTGATGATTCAAGAGAGTAAGTTTCCAGTTTGCCAACACAGTTTCATTTGAAACACATCACATTACTCCTCAAGAAGGATTTCACAAGTCTTCTGAAATTATAGGAATCAAACCTTTCTCTTTGGAAAAAGTCATTCACAGCAATAGTATTCAGCACAATGCCTGTAGCTTGGCATTGGGTTACAAAGCAAGAGTCTCTCTATCAACCCTGCCACTGACCCATCAGATGACTACAAGTTGGTCACCTCACCTTCATATGACCTCGTGTCCCTTCTGATCCTACTTCACTCTAAACTGTAATGTGTTTGTGGGGTGTCTGCACAATACCCTTAGCACATGAAACTTTGATCTCAGGTGGACTTATGAGCTTGTATAAACAGCAAGATTGTTACTCACAAAATGAAGACTTGAATAAAATTTACACTGCATTTAGAGGAGCAGTATTTTTTTTTCTAATTAGCCATGATATAACCTCTAATCTGGAATTTCCTTTTTTCCCCCTGCTTGCCAAAGTGACCAGATGATCAAGAGTTGTTTGCACACCTCCACTGGTGAATAGTCCTGCCAGCAGTACTGACCCTTCCAATACACACTCAGCTGAAAAGGAAGCACTGGCAATGCTGTTAACTGGGACACCTAACTATCACCTGCAGATGTCCTGTTCAAGCTTAAGAGTCTATTCTTGCTTGGCAGGACATAGGACATCATTACAAAACCAAATGGTGTGGCTGCACCTTCTGCTTTATAGTTAGCTGCCGAACTAAAAACACCTTCAAGTTCTGCTTCCCAGGAGAAAGTTAAGTAGCAAAAAAAAATCAGTATAGATAATGCAGATCTGCACATATAAGGAAAGCAAAAAAGTTGCAAATTTCTCACACAATAATCAAAGCACAGATTCACAAATTAAAGTGTGTTTTCTAGTCTCACCATCTGAGGATACAGGACTGCAGACAGGCATATCTGGTTCCTCTGCTGAACATAAAACAGAAGCGTAAAGCACTTCCATGCAGCATCTACTTCAGTGCTGGCGCGCTCACAACTACATGACTGAAACTGGATGCTTCAGCACGTAGCTGGTAGGAACAAACATTTTGTGGTACCCCCTGTAGGACAAATATATCAGGAGCCCAGACAGAAGGAAGACTAACTCAGATCTTTGTCCAATTTGTCTAATGAGTAGACAAATTGTACACAATCAAGCCCTAACTGTAAGGATAAGGTAACATACATGCTACTGCTGACTATGTACCTCCTGGCAATTTTAACAGGCCTTTATAGGTTTAACTCTCTACTACCAGCCAGTAGACCATGCTGCACAGCACACCACCGCTACACCACAGCGTTTAAGAGCTCATTGTTGTTGCAGCATCCTCTTTTGCAATTCAACACTTGGCTCAAGTGATGTCTCTTCACAAACTGCTGTTGTAGTGCATAGAAGACAGACATTTTTCCTCCTGCTTATGAACACTCAGCCCTGATTACTTCTCCCATCCTCCCTCATTGATTTCCAAAGGTCATGCAAGTCCTTTTACAGCCTTGACTTGGAACAACCACCTATACTGCACTAGCTGGAGAGGTGTGTGCATACCACTATCTTTTTTGTCTGTCGTTTCACAGTTCAGTTCCAGTAAAAACAGTGCCTTTAATATCAACATTTGCCAGTTTATTTTTAAAAGGACTGTCAATCCTTCTCTTCCTCACTTCACAGGCTGGGAT